CCGCCGCCGTGCTTTACTGTTGGAGGCCTTCACATCATGATGCTGCCACTGCCGTGCTTTACTGTTGGAGGCCTTCACATCATGATGCTGCCGCCGCACTTTACTGTTTAAAGTAGTTTACTGAACCCGGGACCCGAAAGTCCCAGGTTCAATCCTCAGCCATGCCCAAATGTCATGGTGTCTCTGAGCAAGACATCTAATACCCAATTGCTCCCCGGGCGCTTACACAGCTGCCAACTGCTCCACCTGGGTGTACCTCAGGTGTGAAGGGTTAAATCCTGGGAGCTAATTTAATCATTGTATATGTAATGATTCATGATGACAACACACAGCACTTTATTTATTCAAGACAGCTGAGAAATCACACAATACTGATTATTTATTATTTACTGTACTGATTGATTATTTATAGATTATTTACTGCATTTATTGATTATTTACAGTATTTTTTGATTATTTACTGTATTTTTTGATTAACATATTATTTACTGTATTTACTGTATTCCTGACCCCATGCACCTGTTTGCAGTTATACTTTGTTGTTTTAAGAAAAGAAACGTTCTGCATTTTGTCCTAAAACAAAAAGCACTTTATTTTGAACCTGAGCCTTCAGGTGAACAGAACCAGTAGCTGTAATCAGCCTGTCGCAGCTCAAAAAACCCAAACCTCCTCTGACTCGGGTCATTTTACAGAACCTGAGCTCAAACCTGACGTCGCATCAAAACACATCAGGTTTAGACCCAATAAAGCCGTTGGTGTCTGAGAGCACGGAAAGCTGTAAAGGAGTCTGTGTTCTCCTTCGGCTGATAAAATCCACGCAGAGTTTGTGTTAAATGTTCAAACTGCAGCTTCGGTCGAGTGTTCAGGAGGACAGATGCCTTGGTTTGTGGACCCTCAAAGAGTAAATGTTGGGATTTATGGGCGAACAGACGGATTTTATGCTGCACGTGTTTAAAGAGCGACCATTTAATCAGACATAAACCAGAGTTTGGATTTTAATAAACTTCTAAAGAGCCATCTCAGAGCCCAGAGGAGGCGGCTCCTCGGGGGCTAAAACTGCTCCATAAACCGGGTTCAGGTCTGAGTCAGCACTTTGTTTATTTTACCGTATGGTTTTCACAACCTAACTAGTTCTGTAGATGTGCTGTTTAAACCGTTCATAATTTAAAACATTCAGCTCATTCAGGAGCTGCCGCTTTTAGTTTCTGTAACTTTTATACTTTTTAAAACATTTAACTTTAATCACAAAAAAGTTCCCATAGAAACATGGAAATCTATTAATTCAAAAATCAACGTTCTCTTTAAAATCTGCTTCAGCTGCTGGCTCTGTTTTGTTCTCTGATCATTTTAGCCTTTAGCTTGCCTTTTGCTACTTCTAACTTTCAGCTACTGTTTTGCAACATTAATTTTTTAAGCTAGCATTTTAGTACTTTAAGTACTTTTAGTACTTTACATTTTAGTTTTTATTTAGTTTTATGCTCATTTTTGCAACCCTTTTATTACTTTAACATTTAGTTACCTTATTGCTACCTTTAGCTTCTAGCTACTCTTTTTTAAGCTATTAGCTAACCTTTTGTAACTTTAACCTTTCAGTTACTCTTGATACTTTACTTTTAGCTGTTTGTTTTATAGTTTACCCATTTTGTTACTTTTAGCACATCCCTTTGCCTCTTATAGCCAGACTTCTGCTGTTTTAGTTTTTATTATCCATTTAACACCTTACCTTTAGCTAGTCTTTTACTTACAGTTAGCTAGCTTTCTGTTACTAGCAGCTAACTTTTTGGTTTATAGTTACCTAGCCATTTCGCTACCTTTAGCAAGCCTTTTGCTGCTTTTACTTCTGTCTTCTTCTAGACTTCTTCTCAGGCCTGAGAAGATCCACAATCCCTCCAATGACTTCTGGGTCGTCCCCGGGGCCTCCTACCAGTGGGACGTGCTGGAAAACCCCCCAAGGGAGGCGTCCAGGAGGAATCCTGATCTGATTAACCTCCTCAACTGAGTCCTTTCGATGAGGAGGAGCAGCGGCTCTACTCCGAGCTCCCCCTGGATGATGGAGCTCCTCACCGTATTGTTAAGGCTGAGCCGGGCCAACCAAAGGAAGACCATTTCAGCCGCTTGTATCCAGGATCTGGTTCTTTTGGTCATGATCCAAACCTCGTGACCACAGGTGAGGGTCAGACCATAGACAGACCAGTAAATCAAGAACTTTGCCTTTCAGCTCTCAGATACTTAAACTCCTCCCCCTGAGGCAAAGACCCCCCACCACCCAGAGGGAGCATTCCAGCTGTTTCCAGTGGAGAACCACGGCTTCGGACTCTGAGGAGTGGACTCCAGCTGCTTCACGCTCGGCTGAGAACCGCCCCAGTGCATGCTGAAGGTCTTTACCTGAAGACGCCAACAGAACCACATCATCTGTATACAGCAGAGACAAGACCCTGAGGGTCCCAAACCAGACCCCCTCCTCTGTGGCTGTGTCTCGAGATCCTGTCCATGAAAACCACAAACAGGATCGGAGACCAGGGACAGCCTGGAGGAGCCCACCCTGCTTTAATCTATGTTTCTGTAAAACATTTAGTCATTTCCTGTTTTTGTAACTAGACTTATTTTGTTTTGTAAATAAAACATAATAATAATAATATAAAAATAACATAATAATTTTGTTGGACTTCCTGTGTTTCAAAACTTGACTTCCTGTGTTGGTAATTTGACTTCCTGTGTTTCTAAATTTGACTTCCTGTGTTGGTAATTTGACTTCCTGTGTTGATCATTTGACTTCCTGTGTTTCTAAATTTGACTTCCTGTGTTGGTAATTTGACTTCCTGTGTTGATCATTTGACTTCCTGTGTTTCTAAATTTGACTTCTTGTGTTGGTAATTTGACTTCCTGCGTTTCTAAATTTAATTTCCTGTGTTTGTAATTTGACTTCCTGTGTTTGAAATTTGATTTCCTGTCTCTCCTTTGCCTGTTTTCCCCTCCATTACTCATCTCCACCCTCTCCACTTTGCTCTCATTTTTCAGCTCCTTCCTGTCACGTCTTCCTCCCCCTCTCCATCACTTCCACCTCTCCGCTTCACTCTCTCCATCACTCCTCCTCCTCAACTCATCACTTTCTCCTGAATGTTTTCCTCCCTCTCTCCTTTCATCTCATTTGACTCCACCGCCTCGCTTCACCGATGTGTCTGTTTTCAACTGCTTCCTTCATCTATTGTAGAAACTTGTCCTTCTGAACAAATGGGGGGATCAAACAGGAAATGGACCATCAACCAGCCTGTTATTTGGGTTGGTGATCAAACAGGAAGTGGACCATCAACCAGCCTGTGGTTTGGGTTGGTGATCAAACAGGAAGTGGACCATCAACCAGACTGTGGTTTGGGTTGGTGCACAGCCTCCATGAGGTGGAGGAACTGAACGAGTAAGATGGCTCAAAACTTCAGAGATGGTTTGATTTAAAAGAAGTGAACGAAAAACGACAACGAGACCGATGGTCTCACGTCAGTTGGGTTCATCCACGTTAGCATCCACTTCATGAAGAAGCTCTTTTTTTGGGTCATCCTGACCACTGGGGGGCCGCAGGACCAGAAACTGCGTCAGAGTTTTTGTTCCAGAGAAACCAAAGACCTTTTCAAGCAGCCAATCCGTCAGGTCCAGTTTGTGACAGCTGCTGTACAGAACCAGTTGGGTGTGAACAGGAAACGCCTCGGAGGCTGCTGGGTTTTACCGGGCCTCGTCCCGTGCCGCTGCGCGCTCGTTTGTCACCGTTAGCAGAGCTAAACAGGCTATTGGCAGCCGCCCTGCCAACGCTGTGATTTATAGACGGCGGCTCTTCAGGACGGAAACACGACCGCAGGGCAACATGGGAAAAAAGGAAACAGGTTTTAAAGCGCTCACCTTTTCTTTTTAATCCATCACTGGATTTATGCTGGTTTCAGGCTGCGCCCTCGTAAAATCCTCATTGTGAAAGTGTAAATACTGCCGAGCGGGCCGGAGAAAACGGGTTTATTCATTATTTATGCATAAAGAAATATGTTTCATCTGTAAAACCTTCAGAACATGCAGATAAACCAGAGAGGCGTTTATGGACTCCGTTGCTCCCTGATTTGAATAAAAAGCTTTAAACTCCGTCCAGACGACGTGAGGATCAGAACTTTACAGAGTTCTTCCCGCTTCACCTTCGCCGTGCGCAACTTTCTCAACAAAATGCTAATTGTTACAGCGCCGACGGGAAATTTAATTTTGAGCAACAACAATTTGTTCGACTTCATGTATAAACTCAGAAACACGAACCCTCGGCTCCCTCCCCCGGGTGCCGGGGGTTCTGCTTCAGATCAGAACCTCTAATGAATATGGATCATGGAAACAATATCTGCAAACAGCCGTCTGTTTATTGAGCCTCGCTCCTGATTTAGTCATGAGCAAAACATAAATTATGCAGCGTGATTAGTAACCAGGCAACACACGGGCTTACCTCATCGCTCACGGATCAATATGGTGCTGGGGGGGGGGGGGGGTCGAGGTACGACACAGAGACAAGACAGGAGAACTGCTGGTTCAGAAACAAACATGGATACGTTGGTAACCTTCCACAAATAAATCAACAAAAACACCGGACGTGGTCGGACCAAACACAGTCCAGTTCTGTCTCATCAGAACCTTTTGGGTCCATCAGCGTGAATCTTGGTGAATTCCTGTCCTTCCATCATTCTGATTCAAAATGTGACAAAGTGTCTCGGTTCTGTCTCTACCATCCTCTATTCATCTGATCAACCTGGGGTCGCATTTTATCTTGCATCCATGTCCTAGGAGGTTGGCTACAGCCCTGAGAACCTTCTTCTTTATGGTAATCTCATCAGCTGTGGTTAGAAGAACAAGACGCATCTTGGAGAAGGTCTTGAAGCCTTTAGCTTCTACGTGGATACCTCTGACCGTCTCCGAGCTCCTCGCCCAGCTCTGATTGGTGCTGTGAACAGAACCAAACCACCCAGAGGCTCCTCAGTCACTTACGGTCAAACATTTACTTTAAAATGTGACTATAATGCAGATTAGTCGTGTCTTTAATGGGTCGAGTATTTTCATATAAATCTATAAAATAAAAATTTATTTTCATATGTTTTCTTTTTTACAGACTGAAGGCAAGTTGTTCTATTTTCGTACTGGAACGTTTGCAGCTCCAATAAAAAGTCTGACTCATAAAGATGGGATTAAAAAAACACAGAACCAAGGAGGACGACCATCATCATCATCACGTCCTTCGTCCTGAACATCTTAAGGTGGACCTCCAAACCGTTGCTCTTCCTGCCTGCGTGGGCCCAGAGACGCTCGACTCACGGCTCCATGCGTTCGATGTTTAGTGTTTTATCCCACTCACATGAACGAAGGAGCGTGACGCCGGCCTTTTCTGCGTCCTGCTGTTGCTCCGGTCCATTTGAGCCAACACAAACGTCCTGCAGAGCTCAGCCGGTCATTACAGCAGGATTACAGGCAAACGGACTGGATTTGGTGAGGTGAGGCGCTCTCACTCCCTGATCCTGCATTTAGTGGAGGTTAGAGTCTTTGTGATCCACGCACCGTCCCTGTACGCCGGCTGAGATTAGAATCAGACTAATGAGGGAGACCGGGGGCCGCCGGGGTTAGATGAAGAAAGAAAGAAGATCTGTGGAGGCCTTCAGGCCTTTAAGGCTCGTTCTGTCGCTGAAATCTGTCGGAAGCTGCGGTTAGCGTTAGCTGCAGCTGCCGGGACGAAACACGTCGTCACCGAATTCAAAACCTAAAGATAAAACTTTAAAACACGTTTTCTGCACCTAGCTACAAAACTGAAGGTCAAGACCAAAGTGAAGGTCAAGACCAAAGTGACGGTCAAGACCAAAGTGAAGGTCAAGACCAAAGTGATGGTCAAAACCAAACTGAAGGTTAAGACCAAACTGAAGGTTAAGACCAAACTGAAGGTTAAGACCAAACTGAAGGTTAAGACCAAACTGAAGGTCAAGACCAAAGTGATGGTCAAAACCAAATTGAAGGTCAAGACCAAACTGAAGGTCAAGACCAAACTGAAGGTTAAGACCAAACTGAAGGTCAAGACCAAAGTGACATCAAGACCAAACTGAAGGTTAAGACCAAACTGAAGGTCAAGACCAAAGTGAAGGTCAGGTTTGAGCTTTGTGGAATTTTTCCACGTTTATTGGCCAAAATAAGAATTTCTGAATAATTTCTAGTTTCTTTGAATGAAAACATGAAGCGACTCAGACTAATAAAATTAAACCCTTATCATCTATAAGATGAAACGAAGGCCGCGGCCTCGCAGGCCATGTGTTTACAGAGCTCACATCAGGTGGTTTACGCAGTGATTACAGGTAGCCCAGCAAGGGAGATGAGAGAACATCAGCTCGTCTCAGCCGCCTGAGGAAGTTCACCTTTTGCTACTTGTGAGCCCCTTACAGACAGACGCACCTGCCTGTGTGTGACTGCGTGATGACCTAACTTCTCTAGGTGCTGAGCATCACTCTCAGCTAATACCAAGTTAGCTCAACGTTAGTAAAGTCACTGAGTTACAGCCGTTCCGTGCCTGCTGTGGTTGTTCAGCTGTGGCGGCCATCTTGAATTGACTCCAGCAGTTTCAGTCTGTCCACTGGTTCATGAGATATTTTGCTAACAGACAGTAATACCTTGGACCCAGCTCTCTTTCAGCATCCCTGAAAAGCCTCCACCCTCGGCTCCTTGTTCCCCTCGTTGTGTCACCATGGGTCCGTTTGACCCGGTTCTGGTTCACCCGGCTCAGTGTTCTCATTAAGACCCGGGACCAGACGGGGGACTAGCTGAGCCGTCCCTGGACCACAAACTGGATAATGAGGCACGAGACGGCGGCCAACAGAAGGAGGGAAATCCCCTGAACTCAACACACCTCCACAAACACCACTGTGGGAGCTCGCCAACACGTGTGTTGGTGTGTGTATGTCGCTGTGCCTCCTGCTGAAATAAATGCCTGTCTGCCCCTCCATCTGTCTACCTCCACCACAGACGGGACATGGGGAGGGGGGGCAGGAGCCTTGTTGTCCTCGAGCTGGAAATAAACCTTCCCAAAGATCCTCCAGTTAAAAACTAAATTTATCTCTGTGTCCCTTGTGTCTGTGAATAAAAACCTGATTTTCTCTGAGCATTTTATAGTTTCAACATTTTTGCTTTAAACCACCTGATCAAGTTTTGTGTCGGTGATTAAAGGCATTGTTCGAGTCCGGGGTTTGAGTCCGGGGCTCTCCAACCAGGTCTAGGTCTCAGGACGTCACCAACAAACACCTGGACCACACGATTCTTCAGCTCTATGTTGGCTTGACAGTCATGTGACGGGTTACCATGGTAACACTGACAAGCATGTTACA